GTGAACCTCAGACTCACACCTGGGATTTGTGGTTGCTTTTCCCACCAGGCCCCCCAACTCCACCAAAAGGGCTGTGTTTTCTCACACCACCAGCTCACCTAACAAATCAAAACTTTGGAAGAGAACTGGTTCGCACCTGGTACAGAAAAGACATCGTGTGTTTGGTTTGTGGCTGTTCTTTTCTCAGGTTTCCACACTGCCAGAAACAGATGCCTGTATTTCCATGGGTTGACACCTCTCACTTTTCTCCTTTACTTCACAGGCAGGAAGGTGCCAGGAAGAACAAGAATGAACTTGCCCTCAGCTGAGCAAAGGAAATCCGAAAATCTGCAGCTTCTGCCGTACAAGCTTGCAGTAACAAGTTGCTGGGTTTCCAGCTAGAGGAAGCTGCTTATGGGAGCAGACATGTTGCTGCCAACTCTCAGTTCCTAAACTTGATTCCTCCACTCTTGGGCTGGTCACACATTCTGGGGAAAGTTGAATTAAACCATTTTTAAACCATGCCACCATTTAGAAACGCTGATGAACAGCATCTGCAAGGCTGTCACTACACATATGCATAAGAAGGGAAGCAGACAGCAGGAACATAGGTGCTTACAACAGTCATTTGCTCTGGCATCTGTCAACGTTAAACTGACAAAACTGCTGCTGTTGCACCATATTTATGCACGAAACTCTTCCCCGCCGAGTGCGTCCCTTGTACTCATCCAGCACAAGAATCTAGGAAACGGCAAATTGTCTCTTAGCATAAGTATGAGTTAAAGTTAAGAAATACAAAAAAATAATAAAGGACTTCTCATTGACTCCATCTAAATCTTGCTTCCTACAAAGGCTGGAAGCAACTGCAGAATCATCCAGAAACTGGAACCTCCAAGTTTGCAGTCCCAACTTTGATGCTAGCTCACGCACAACTAGATGCTTCACCTCTTCTGCCTAGATTTTTCCATCCAAGGAAGAGGGATAGTTAGCAGCGACTTGCTACGCAGCAGTGGCGTGAGACTTAATTAGTCAGAACACTTTGAAGGTATGGTACCTAATTAATATCTGAAGTGGCTGCAGTGATTATTATGAACAATAGCATAGCTCACAGCTGATGATACAGCTCAACTCATCAGTATTTTTCATTCTCAAAAGTGCTGTGCAAACATACAGCCAATATTCCACATCAGAAATGTCCACAGTGGTGGGTGGCTATCAAGCTCATTTTGCGGATGGAAAAACTGAGACAAGGTCTGACAGAGCCCAGCAACAATCACAAACCACAGAGCATGGGAACTTTACAAGGCACTCGCATGGGAACTCCTCGCTTGCTGCTAGGATGGAACAGGGCAGTGGCCCGATAGTCCCCCTGCAATATTTTGAGTCTGTTTGGAAACGCTCAGCCATACATGCTCTGTGCAGGTGTTGAATTTAGCAGGCTCCTGTAAGCAACCATAGGGTTGGAGCTTTAAGGGTAGGAAAGAGCAAGCAGAAGCTCTTAACTAATCCTTCAACACACACACAAAAATAACGTGGCACATAATGAGCGAGCCAGGACAGCTATGGGACCTACATATCAGCACAGCCTTATGCCATATGCTCCCAGCTGAGCAGTGGGAGCACAGCCCTCCCTCTGCATACATAGGGAAGTTGCATCTCCCTCATTTTAGCAGCAGCAACCACCACCAGGTTGGCCCCATCCTTGGATGATGGAGGACATGCGCAAGCAGTACTTTTCAGCCCAGAGGCTTCTGCGCCTTCCCTTAACCTAGGTACCCCAAGCTCTACAGGGGTAAGCCCCCCCCTCTCAGGACTCACACAAGGAAGGGCATCTCCATTTCACCTGTTGTACGATGAACAATTACCAACCAACTTTGCAAAGTGCTCTCAGCAATAGGGAGTGCAAGCGTTGGCTTTAGCCTTGATCTTCACTTTCATTCTGTCCTGCCTTCAGAAGACCTGGGAACACATTTTAGCCACATTGCAAAATGCAGAGAGTATTAAAAAAAATAGTCTCCAGAGCCTTACATAAGCACAGCAGTTGAGATCCACAGGCTCTCTTCTATCACTGTGTCATGGAGCTGGGTTCCCACCTGTCTCATCTCCTGAGAGCTTCCTGGAGAGCAGAAGTAGCAAGCTAAAAGAAAAGAAAAGAGATTTTTTTTTTCTTCCTGTCTGCTAAAGGGCTTACTTCATTTTCAGCTCTTTAGTGTCCCAAGAACAGCAGAGAGATTTGCGGTGGTATTATTTTGAGCTGTATTTGTGGCAATATCCAAAGGACAAGAAACAAAACACGCTGCTGTGCCAAAGTCAAACAGAGATAACTTTGGAGCTCAGCCATTTCTGTGACAATGGGACATACTGATATTAGCAATTTAATAGTACAGACTTGAGAGATGGAAAAGAAGTCATCATACCATTACATACACACTGGGACGGTTTGCAGGCCTGTACACAGCCAGTATATAAAGGCTGGAAAAAAGAAGAAAAAAACCAAAACCCAACCCACAATCTTTCAACAAGCAGCAGCTCAGAAGAATCCCCCAGGTAGATACTGATCTATCACTCAGTGTATAATGAACATAAAACAGGGTCTCTTTGAAGGAGAAGGTCATTCTAGATGGGTGCAGGGGACGTCTCCTGTGTGTAACGCTTTGGATCGTCTACCTTCCTAGAAACTCCTCATAAAATGTTTCACAGGCAAGTGTGTAAATCTCCAGAGGAAAATGAAAGGCAAGAAACTCTATTCACTCCTTTAAACTTGAGCACTGAAGAGATAAGTCCAGGTCTATTTTATAAGTATTTCCAAGTTCAAAGAAAACAGCAACTAATACTGACACAACCCAACAGAAACATCCCAAGGGGCAAGGCTGTAGGTTGCACGATACTCCAGTGCCACCAGCCGCACAACACAGGAAAGGGCAGCTACGCAGAAGGAAAGGGAAGGTTGAGCTGCCTTCGCAGCACGGGGTGAGCCAACACCTCTCAAGTCAGTGCAGCTTACCCATAGATTACAGTGAATGTCAGAATTACCAGAGTGATAAACGCTAGATATAAGTTGCAAGAGGGATCAGGCACTTCGGTGAATCCTCAGGAAAATACATGACAAATTGGTTCTCTATTCACTCCCACAGGGATAGTGAAATCAGCCCAGACTTAGAAGTCTTCTTTAAGAAAATTAACCACTATCAGGGAAGGTACATTCGTCTGCAGCTGAGAAGGCAGAGGAGCTTTCAGGACTCCTGGTGGGAGTCCTAAATATTTCCTATGTAGCAGAACACTGTGGAAGTCGCGTTTCTGTGAAGAGCATCAAAGCCTTTCTGTGACTCTACTCAGTCCCTTTAACATGTGTACGCATACACGTACTTTTTTCACAAGTCTATGCTGGGATTCCAGCAGCTTTTCATCCAGAAGGCTGTGGCCAGCCAGCCAGAACACTCACACGCTTCGCTCTTTCATCTGAGCTCATTGTAGAGGAAATCAAAGCTAGCTTTTTGGTTTGTTTTTTTTTCCCCCTCCACTATCACTGCATGAGTAAATAACAAGGAAGTCCCAGTAAGGACATAAAGTAAAAGGCAACCAAAGGTTCTCTCCACCCCTGCACACAGGCTCACCTGGGCAGGAGAACTGCTGGACAAGAGCTCCTCCTGGAGGAAACGTCCTCCTCTCCCTCCTTCTCCAGTACCCAGCTCTCATGAGACACAGCTCTTACATCACATACCTGGGCTTGCCTCTCACTTCGCAGAGAGGAAGTAGCGGAACCTAGAAATTCATAAGAGTCATCAGTTATCTATTTCTGTACGTCACAGTCTACCCAAGTGAGGCTTTTAATCTGCTTAGACATCACTGTAGAAGTGTGACTCCTACTTACTATCAAAGCTAACAAAACTACTATGTATGAACTAAAGCCAGTAGGGATATTAAAACAAGAAAAATTAAGTTAAAGAAAGGCATTTTGCTCAAGTTTTCTTCCTAGATTTTACTGAAAACAAACCAAAACACAACCCAATGAAAGTTGTAATACTTTAACCTTAGCCAAACATAGCTTCAAGCTTACCAAAGTCTCATTTGAGCATGTAAACACAACAATTTTATCAACTCAGTTACCTGGGACTGCTTAGGTATTGAAAACAACGTGAACAAAAAGAAAGATTAAAAAACCCAACACAGTATTTAAACAAAATTAAGTTATTTTTATTTCAAGGGTATTATTACAAAAAGCACTCACTCTGTTATACAATTAAATGAATACACACCCTACCATAGCAATCCCTCACTCCACAAAGATCACACCATTGTCAACCTCCAAAGCACACTCCAGGCAAGCCCCATCTGCAAAAATATATTGATCACAGCCTGACCAGTATCACAGAATCACAGAATGGTTCGGGTTGGAATGGACCTTTAAAGGTCATCTTGTCCAACCCCCTGCCATGAGCAGGGACACCTTCAACCAGATCAGGTTGCTCAGAGCCCCGTGCAACCTGACCTTGAATGTTGCCAGGGATGGGGCATCCACCACCTCTCTGGGCAATCTGTTGACCAGACACCCTCTGCAATGATCCAACTTACTTGTTCATAGCTGGTAAACCAGGTTATAGGTTTTCCAAGAGCATTTTATACAGGAAACATGACAAGAAGCAGAACAAACAGTGCAACGCACAGGTCAACAGAAATATTACCTTTCCTTGAAAGGCTCCAGGGACAAAAAAGGCATGTTCTCTCTTCTTCCAGGGAATATTCTCGGTACACATAGAAAGCATGTATGTAGCAACTTTGATTTCAAGAACACTTTCTAGGAACAGCAATCTCAGAACCTACAAGGTAGATTAAAACTGCCACGACAATTTGCAGATGGAAAAAAAAAAAAAAAAAAATCACGCAGACATTACTCGCCTCAAACTCCCTAGGGAGGTCAATGTCTGGTCTCAACAGGGATTTAGGAATTCCTATATCTCATTCTGCAAACAGCAAGCACCTCCTTGCCTATGAATTCACGAATGTGAGAGGCCATTTGTCAGTCACTGCTCCTGTTCCGAAGACTCCCTGCCCTCGTGATTCGAGCCATTTGATTTAAAAAGCAAGAGGCTTCTGTCCCAGCTGGTGCTCCCAAAGCAACACACCAGCTCCATGGCACAGTCCTTCGTTAAGATCTGGGTTATCCTCTCTGCCATATCCCCATTGATCGCAAGAGATCGGAAGTGATCAAAGTCATTTCTGCCCAGCTTCCGCAAGCGGCGTGCAGCTGCCCTGTAGCACTTCCACGGCTGAGGTTCAATCAGCAGGTACTTGCACAGAGAGGAGAGGAAGGACAGGAAGTCCATCAGGCCACTATCCCCATGATTCAGGTGGATCCACATCGTCACAGACATGCAAAAACCAATGTCAAAGGTGGAGCGGCCAAAACGGCCCAGGTAGGAGCTCAGGAATGGCTCCCTAGCACTGGAGTCCATGATGTCCAGGTTGGCAAAGGATATGGAGGTAGGAAAGGGGCTGCACTGTTGAGCCCTCTCAATCAACACTGGATCAATGTCACAGCACAGAAGGTTCAGATCCTTTCCACCTGCAGGCTGGTCCAGGCTGCCTTTGCTCTCCTGAAGGCCAAGGAGATGCCTGTACAGAGCCACACTCAGCTCCTGCAGAAAGGAAAACAACAGGGGTTCACAAGGCCTATGCTGCTTTGTTAACCTATACCATGCTTCATTAATCCTACACCAAGCACATAGGGTCCCACTTTCAGCAGCAAGCTACAAGCACCAACTCAGAGCTTTCCCTTGATGAAGTTCAGAACAACAAGCTGCCCGACAATCTTCCTTTCTGTAGCAAAAAACGTCGAGGTAGCCCTGACTACCAGAAAGTCAACCAGAAATTGGAACTAAACTTGCATCACCCCACACTCAAGGTTTTGCTCCAAAAACTACAGGAAAGATAAGTTTTAGTAACAGCAATCTTGCTGGATATCCCCATCGAAAGTGGGGGTGAAGGCTTCACTGGCTTCCCTAGGTGAGCCTCAGAGTTCCCTAGTGACACTTAGGCTGTCACTAGCTAATGTATATTAGCTATATATAATGCCTAATTTAGAGTAATACATTTCTTCTGCCGCTGTTAAAGTAAAAGACATTCCTTGACCATTAGATTGTAGCATAAGACAGTTAACAGGAGAGCTTGCCTTCGAATTTCCTTTCACAGAATGGGCCACTAAGTGGAAAGCGTATTAATCTTCTATTAAAGGAGATCCAATGACGTTCCTGAATGACACCGGCTATGAGTGCGTAGCCCACACAAGTAGGAAGACAGTGTCCTCTACTGGTGAAAGCTGCTGCATCTCAGAAGCACTGGACTGAGAACATTTTTACCTGACCTGTTTTACAAGTTCACCTGAAATAGGATCTAGAATTGTCCTTTAGATAATGCCTTAGGCAGACTTTCAAACCTTCTGGCTGCACCCTGGCAGAAGAGCAGCCATGGAAACAGCAGTACTTTTGTCCCCAGCCAGAATGCAATTTCATTCTGAATGAATGATTATTTCTAAGTTAATACATTGACAAAGTCTCCATCTGAAAAAATCTTTAAACACTGTTTAATTAAACATCGCACCAGTCTGTATCAGAGATGCACAGATACTTCTGAATTACAACACAGTAAAGCTGCACACTGAGGACAAGCCAAGAGAAAAAAACAGAACTATGTAAAGAAAGAGAATGAACTTTCAAAATAGGAAATTCTACAAGATTACCAGCTGTGTCACAAGGTCTTCAAGAACACGTGACCAGGATTTTAGTTTCAAGGTCGGCCTCATGGATAAATGATGTGACACTACACAATACACAGCAACACACAGTTTCTAGCTTCAGGCTTGTCCAGCTCCCCTGCTCTTAGGGCAGTCCTATAGCAGCTCTCCAGTGCTCGGGACATGCAGCAACCCAGGGCACTGCAGGCTCAGGTCTCAGTGGGAAAGATGACAGACCCACCAACACAGCCTCCTAAACCAACTCTCAGCAACACAACCAGCTGTGCCTCACCCCTGCCTCCACCCTCCTCTCACAGGAGACCTGCGGAGGGGGCTTCCCACACACCGATGCTCTCCTGACCCCCACCAGTCTCATGCTGCACCCAAGTCCTGGCCTTCCCACTGTACCTTTCACACAGGCCCATCCCTGTCCCAGGCTGCTACCCCCTCTCTGGCCATTCCAGGCAGTTTCCTTCATCCCCAGTCCCCCAGGCCAGCACTCCTCCCAGCCTTCCCCACTGCTCCCCAAGACTTCAAGCTACTGCCCCCCTCCCCCCCAGTTTTCTCAGTCTGCCCCATTCTTCCCCAACATCCCATGGGAGTGCTTTCCCCAACCTTCCCAGTCTTCCTTCCAACACCCCAGGTCGCTGTCTGCCCCAGCCTCCCCACTCTACCCCAATGCCCCCAACATTCACACCAGTGCCTCCCCACCTTTCCAATCTGCTTCCCCACACCACTAGCTCCCGTCTCCAACCTCTCCTCCGCTTGCCTCACTACCTC